ATATTAGAAAAATATTAAAATTATAAATTAAATATAATATATAGTATTCTAGAGTTTCAGTCACTGATTAGAGAGTTATATTATTTGTGGTCAACAGTTACAAATGATACAATATGTTCGACTACTCTCTGTAGCTTCATGCTACATCAGCAATGGAAAGTTTTAATCCCGATATGAGCCAGAGGCAGAATAGATAAATAATTCAACAATTATACATACAAAGAATATTTACAAACAGTAAGCTGAGTAGGTGGATATAAAATCCATGGTCTTTTCATTATATTTATTGACAACAGTTGTAGACTGTAGCTTCATTAAACAATGGAAAGTTTCAATCCAGATATGAGCCAAAGGCAGAATAACAGAATAAGTAAAAAATTCCACAAAAAGAATTTTCACGAGATTTTCCTTTGAAGTCCGAGCAAATACATTTTCTAATAAATATATTTTAGGGCTAGACCGAGGGGTAGATACAATATGTCAAGTGGTCTCTGCTGGACCTTAGTGACTGTTTAAATGAAAGTTGCTTTTTCCAATCTACCAGATGTACAGTGGTTATAAAATTTTTAATAGATTGTTTTTTTGAGCTTATCAAATGGGCACTGAATGCACAGTGTGCTCTGGGTAAGCTGGGGTGTTGAAACTCACTGGATTCTTGAAGGCAGGCATGGCAAAACATACACCATGGCTCTGGTTGGGGCGCTTTGATTATTTATCCAGGCGAATATGGTCTGGTCGTTGGTTTGCTTAGGTCAGTGTAGGCGTAGCGACGCGTCTTTGTTGGCCCTGTGGTATCAACTTTAGGACAAAAGGGATAAGATGCTAGATTACTAGACACGAGGTCCCACTTACCTACACTTCTCGGAGTCATCATCACCATCGTGGCGATTACGTCAAGAAAGGCCAATGAAGAATTAAGAAACAAGAAACGAACAGACTTCAGTGCATTGGTTTAGTGAGAACTTGTACGTGAAATTTTTTAGCACTTATTTTCCCAGTTGGTATCTATCAAATAGCTTGTTCCCCTGGTAATACAAAACAAGAATTTTTGGATGGGTTCACAAGATCAATGAAAAATACAAGTACACCTATTTTCCTAGACATAAATATTTCACATTTACTACAATAGAACATAAAGTATATGAAAATAGCAATTTGGCTTAACTCAGATAGTGGAAAGTGAGTCTGGCTGAAAATTTTGGGATCTTCAATTTTTCACTTGCCAGACATGCGGGGTCTTTAATGCTGTTAAGCCATTATAGGATGTAATGGTCTGTAATTACGGTGAACTTGGTTCCTACCAAGTAGGGTCTTAACTTTTCACTAGCGAACAAGGACGGCTAAACATTCCTTTTCAGTCGTCGAATATTTTCGCCCATTTTTGGTCAAGGATCTACTTAGATATCAAATTACATGCTCTTCATCATCGTGATTTTGAGAAAGTACGGCACCCAACCCAAAGTCGAATGCGTCGCATTGAACGGAGAAGGGAAGATTAAAATCAGGACAAGAAAGAACCGAGGCTTTAATGAGATATTCTTTGACTGTTTGAAACAACGCCTTCTCACAATCAGAATCCCATGCAAATTTTACATGTTTCCTGGTAAGAGCTGTCAATGGTTACATAACGGTAGAAAAATTAGGCACAAATCTGCGATACCATGATGCCATACCAATAATCCGACGTACCTCTGAAACAGTGGTAGGAGTGGGAATTTCAAGGATAGCCTCAACTTTGCCAGGATCCACCAAAAGACCTGAAGAATTAACTACATATCCAAGATACTTCAGCACCGGCTTACATATCTGGCATCTCTCACGATTCAATACGAGCGTCGAAATTACGCTTCATTACTTCTCTTAAGACTCGCATATGCTCGTCAGAGGCCGATGTGCATATTATTACGTCATCTAAATCGACGAAAACCTACTCTGTCGATAAGCCGTTGCCATACGTTTAACCCGGCATTACACGCGCCAAAAAACTTAGTGTACGGCCACACAGAAAGCGATTCAAGCGGCATTGAATGCGTTTTGGCGTCTACTTCATATGCTTTTTATGCGTTCGAAGATTTTCTTGCGAGTTGTGTCCAAAGAAGAAAAGAAGCTGCGTGTTGCTTGTTTGTACTATGCAGTTTCTTTAGGTATGTCGAGGAGTGATAATTACGAAAGATATGACGTACCCAGAACATAAATCTTGAATAAGATTATGGTGATGAGACTCTCTGAGTGGGTCCATGAACCAAGAGAGAACCACAAAGGGTGAATTTCATACTTTTTTCTCCAGTTGTGGCAACATCCTGATAATTTTTTTGAATACTATAGAATAACCATTGAAACCTTTGACTTAAATATTGAAAAGACATTTCAAATACCTAAATGAAAGAAAACTAGGCATAAATCGTCAAAGAACGCACGCTGAACGCGCTCAAAAAACAAACTGATTTGTTTTCATTTGCGATATAAATTCTTTTTCGTCTATAGCTTAAGAAGCGCAAAACGCAAGAAGCGTCTTGTCGGGCCACTCGCTATATATTACATTATTTTAATTCTAGTAGCATAAGACGTTCCAAACACTTTAGTCGCCAAGCGCGTTAATGCCGCTTCAAACGCGTTCTGTGTGGCCGTACACTTACGTCGTTACACGCGTTCAGACAAATCGACCGACTGCCCAAAAGTTTATGTGAATTATTAGCGTTTTTCGCGGAAACGATCCCAAGCTTATCCTGAACGCTAAGGTATGACCTACGCAAGTTTACTAATCAATAGTACAATAGCCAAAAGTACTCCCAATATCAGAAAATTCCAATTTTGAACACAAATATTTCAGATACTCAGGTTCACGCGCCTAGTCAAAAGCACCGACTATGAAAACAACGAACCCTTCTTCAACCAAAAACCAAAATATCTTTGGGCCAATGGGTAGTGGAAAACCTGCATCAGGCATTCCTGGATGGACAAAACTGTCACCATTGTACTAGTAGCGTAATTACTGATTTTATCAATATTTGGTCCTTTTGACCGGCACGCGTGTACTCCCGGGTTAAATTGATATAGCTCACGTGATGGAATAGTGAATGCAGTTAGCGGACGTGATTCTGGGGCAACAGGAATTTGCCAATATGCAGACTTGATATCAAGCGTGCTAAGAAATTTGGCATCTCGCAATTTGTCGAGTGTCGCACTGATACAGGGGATCGGATGAGCATCTGGAATGGTTACACGATTCAGGCTACGATAATCAACGCAAAATCTCCAATTTCCAGACTTTCTTTCCACTATAACGATCGGTGACGACCAAGGAGAGTTGGAAGGTTCGATAATGTCATCTGCGATCATCTGCTCTAGTTCCTTATGTACGGTTTTTAACAACGCCGGAGACAAGGGATAGTATCGTTGCTTGATAGGTGGGGATTCAGTTTTTATGACTAACTGAACAAGGTTTGTACAGCCTAGTTTATTTTCCATCATTGAAAATATGCTGTCCAATAGACTATCAAGTATATCGCGCTGCTCAGAACTTAGGTTATCAAAGGATTGTAGTGACATAAGTGGGATGGCTGAATGAGCCTCTGATTTAAAACATCATTCACCAGCATTGAGAATATTGAGATCTGGGACAATATCCATTCGTTTAGAGAAATCAACTCCTAATATAGGAGTGTGTGGAACCAAAGGTACTACAAGGTAATCCAGAAGAATAGAGCGGTCTCTTAGAGTTATGGGTAGACGAACAAGTCCAATAATGGAACAGTTTTGACCATTGGCCACCACGCAGTTCGTAATTGGAGAGGGTAGCAATTTACAAATTGATTTCAGAATTTCCCATCCAGAAGAACCAAGGATGGTTTTTGAGGCACCACTGTCCAACAAACCCAATAATTCTTTCCGAATATTTTTACTTTCAAGAAAGGACGTTCGTCGCCTTCGACATGAGCAAGAATGTAATTGAGAACGGCTGTAGTTCCAAGAGTATTGACCATTTCAGGTGAGAGGCAAGAAATCCGGCCTAATTCCCTGCCAGAGTCAAGTTTTTTGAACAACGTGGGCAAGATTTAGTTGTCACTTGCTTTTTGCCACATTTATAACAAAACACAGTTTTAGATTGTTGGCATTGACGAAACCGGTGACCTGATCCTTCACAGTTCCAACATGTTAGAGTCCTATTGGAGTTAATAGAATCAATTAGAGTTTCTACTTGAGGATCGTCAGCGAAACCTGAAGTCGTACTTTCAGAGCCAACATCTGACGGCAGCATGATACGAGGGTTTTTTATAGGCTAGTTCGGGTTCTAGTAATTTTCGGACATCAGTAGGAGGCGGAACAAACCTCGGTACACGGGATTCTTTTTCCTCTACAGCTTTACATAATCGAATTAAATCCTGAATATCCGAAATCTCATAGGTAGCAAGACGACTTTGAATAAGTGGTAACAAATTTCGACGTATGATATTAAGTTTTGTTCGTTCTGATGGAACCTCAAAAACTTTTCGAGAAAGATTTTCTATTGCTACGACATAGTTAAGTACACGTTCCTGAGCTCCTTGCTTTCGTTGAGGAATTTCATCCCACAATGCAAATTCGTAATCATACGGCTGAAAAGATTCTCTCAGTTGACTCACGAGATCATCCCAATCAGAAAAGTTGCATGTCCGGTACCATAACAGGGCATCACCAGCGAAAAGTTCAGGACAAGCACGCAGCAGTTGTTCTTTCGAAATGCCTCGTGACCGCCACAGTTCCTCAACTCGTTCCAAAAAATCGTTCACGCTGGATTGTCCAAAAAAAAAAGGTACCTATGTATAGTTTGTTGGATTTGCAATTAAAACATATTATGACCAAAACTCATAAAATCGATTATCAAATAGATAATACTAAATTGTAACTGGAACCTATCAAAAAAACAATATAAATAATAAATAAATTTGTTTTATTAGTTGTGTGTGTCAAAGGTTTTTGTATAGCACTGCAACTCAATATAATATTAATTAATAATACAGAAATTGTCACATCGCTTTTAAGTAGAGGTGCTAGTGTTGATGTTAAAGGAGAAAGTTACTGCTTTGAAAGTAGTATGACCCCTCTGCATATTTGTGCTTCGAAAGCGAAAAAAAATTTCAATATACATATTGCCAAAGATCTTCTAAACTATGATGGTGCTTCTATCAATTCATTAACATCGAAAGGATATACGCCACTTTATTTTGCTTCTAAACGAGGTATTGTAGAAGCTGTGAAATTATTCCTGGATTGGGGTGCTGATATTAATGCTAGCACAAAGGATAATTTAAGCCCACTTCATGTTGCTATTGAGAATGGACATAAAACAGTTATAAAACTGCTCTTAGAATGTGGAGCTATAGTTTACAATCAGGACACTGACAGATCCGTACTACAACTTGCTGTTGGAATAGGTTCTTTGTTGATTGTTGAAGAGGTTTTGAAGTATTGTCCTGATATCAATAATGCAACTAACAGAAACTCTCTTGAAATCGCGGTGCGCGGCTGTAGAGAAAGAGGTTATGGACATTTGTCCAATTGTTGAGGCTCTCCTAGAATATTGTTTTACTATACATACTGATAATCCAGAATTATAATATGCTGCTATTGAAAAAGGATATTTGAAAGTCGTTGAAGACATATTAAAGTATGATATTGAGATTAATATGTTACACGATTCAACTAAAGAAGGTTTAACACCTTTACATAATGCAGCCAAAAACGAACAGGAAGAAATAGCTAAATTGTTGATTAGCTACGGAGCTAAAATAGATACTTAAGACGAAACTGGAAAAACGCCAATATTTTATGCTACTAAAAATGTTGATTTAAAAATGATCAAGCTACTTTTAACTTATGGAGCTATTGTTAAAGATGATCCTGAGCTACTGTATATTGCTGTTAGGAAAGAATAGAAAGAAATCGTTGAAGCTCTTCTGCAACATGATGCTGATATAAATGCTTGTGATAACTACGGAAGAAGAGCATTGCATTTCACTGCTTCGGGTCAGCATGATTATTTCCGAGTCCGAGATTATTTCCCTTCTCTATGTTCTGATAATTTTTCAGACTTTTCTTTCAATAATAAAGAGCCTGATAGTAACGTTAAGGGAGAAATCGCCAAACTGCTTCTAAGTAAAGGCGCCCATGTAGACGTTCAAACTGAATATGGTAAAACAACACTTCTTTCTTCCACTAAAAAAGGATATGCAAAAGTTGTTGAAGTTCTTTTGGAATACAATGCAAATGTTAACTTGGCCCTGAAAAGTGGCTTCACTCCACTTCATATATCTGCCCAGGACGGAAATCTAGAAATTAGCACAATGATTTTGAATAAAGGAGCCAATGTAAATGCTGCAGGAAAAAATGGAATCACTGCACTGCACCTTGCAGCTAAAAACGGCCATGCAGGAGTTGTAAAACTATTGCTAGAATGCAATGCCAAATTTGATTCTGAATTTCAATTTCACAACGCACCACTTCTTTTGGGTAATAAAGAAGGTCATCAAGAGATTATTGAGACTACATTGAAATTTGGGACTGATATTGTCTCGTAGAGATGAATATGGCAGAATAGCACTCCATATCTCAGCTCAGAAGGGAACTCGAAACATAACCGCAATGCTTTTGAATAAAGGAGCCAATGTAAATGTTAGGGACAAAAATGGATTCACTGCACTTCACATCGCTTCTCGAGAGGGAAAAGTAGGACTTGCTACAATTTTTCTGGAGTTTGACTCTGACATTAATATCCAATTCCAATATTGTACGGAAAATTCAATAATAATATTATGCAGCAAATGGCAATAAATATGACTACATTTAAAGTGGATTTCGGTGCGATGTCGTCTAATAAAGTCCTAGTGGAATTATTGTATGTTTCTTCTTGCTGCTGCTGTTGTGGTTCTCTGATGAGAGTTCTCCATTCGGTATCTCCAATAGTTTTATCATGAAAATGCAGCCTCACCTTATAACGCAGGTACGCCAATGACGACGACGGTATACGAGTCGTAAAAACTGCTAAAAGACCCTTATCTATTATTTCATAATGCATTTCTGTCCATGATGTTGTGTTATCCGTTGCGGAAAAGTCCAGCACGATTGACATTTTGTGGACATTGTACGGTCTGTGTACATAGAAACTATTTTGCACAAGGGCAACCAAGAGAACATAGTACGATTGACTTGACACCATCATGGTTAGTAATTGAATGAATTTTAGATTCATTTACACATCCTCAATAAATTGGTGCAATGGTTAATTTAATGCAAACAATTTTTATTGGGAAAACTTTTATTTGGAAAAACAGCATAGAAATTAGTCAACTTCATCGTAACCTATATATTTTGCAATAATATCTTCACCCATATATTTAGCGCCATACTGTTTTAATTGTTGATGTAGTCCATACTGATTCATAAGCACACATAGGCCCTCCAAGGAGATGGAATTAGCCAGAAAAAGATTACAAGACTTGACACCAATTTCATATTTTTCCACAGCTTGCGCAGAAAACCAATCATTAGTGGCGGGCTCTTGCTCAAGTGCTCGAAGTAAAAAGTACACGTCTGTTTCTAAACTAGTACGTAGCAGCTTGTCTTAAACAGGAAGATTGATGATGGCAGCAGGCGTCACCACCACCACCAGTAATTCTATATTCGGACATTTTGACTCTTCAAAGGTTGCTATTGTAGTGTGAAAAAATAAAAAGCAATCCTGTTTTTTATAGTCATTTATTAATACTACTACTAATTTGATCTGGGGGTGGTACAACACGCGTCCAGCTTATCTAAAACCCTAACAATTTTGGTTAGATTCATAGTAGCAAGTTCTAGAAAGTAGCAGCTACGTTCACACTTGTTCAAGTTACACATGCTGATGATTGATTGCAAAAGATTGCTGCTGTTTTTGACATTGTGAGTTACATTCAAATATTGTAGGCAATCATGATAGTATACAATGAAATTTAAATCCTTGACTTATTCTAATCTATAATTTATGAGAGGACAAACAGTTAAAATTTGTTTGACATCGTCCAAACAAAAACACAATGCACAATTATTCGATGTTAGAGTTAAAGCTTGTTCACCGAAAAACTAACCGACACAAAGAGTGTAATTCTCGGATAACGCCTGTTGTTGACCAGGCACAGCAGAGTCTTTGACGCCAGCAGCAGTTTCATTCACCATCTTGGATAACTTTTCCAGGAATTCATACCAGTCGAAATCGGCTAGAGTTATGCAAGTTTGATCTTCGGGCAAGTTTAGCATGGAGTTTACTATTTTGACTGCTGGCAGTATTCCTCGAGCGACGCTTAGGCCCAGAATCAAATTGAAATTGTTCACATGGTAACTAACTTCGTTTAGTAGACGTTTCTCTTGAGCAATTTCCATTCGACTTTTCAAAATCATACTGTCCAAATATTTCCAATAATTTTGTTGCCTTTTTTTCGTAGCACTTGCTCCACGAGAAATACGTCTGGCTGTTTTGTTTTCTGTAGCTCTTCCTCGTAAAATCCACCGCTTATCGGTTGACCTTGCAAGTCTTCCAACAGGTACGTTATTGGATTCGTAATATGAACTTTGACTATTTCAAAGAGCTATGTAGTCCAGTTTGGGGTATAGCGTATTTGAAAAACATGTTTATACTTGCTTATGCGAACAATGTCACCAACCTTGAACTTTTGCTTACCGGCAACTTTAATATGACTATAGACAGCATCAAGTATCGCCTTCTCATTCTTTTTATTCACAGATTTAATCCAGCTATGAGCCAAAGGCAAAAGAGGAACATATGTAAAAAATTCCACACAGAGAATCTTTAGGAGATTTTCCTTTGAAGTTGGAGCCTGGGGAAGCCTTCAACCATTAAAGGTGAAACCTAATTTGACTTTAGAGTCGATTGGGCTCGCGTATCTAGTTTGTTTGACGGCAGACAAGGAAAAGAACTGAAAAACTGTTCCGAAGATTCAGTCATCCTTGGTCATGGTAACCTAATAAGTTTTGGTTGTATCAGTTTTGTTTGAGTAGGAGGATATAAAATCCATGGTTAGAAAACGTAAATTTAAATTTTACTTGATTTTCATTAAATTTATTGACAGCAGTTACATGTTGAACTACTTTGTAGTTTCATCAGCAATGGAAAGTTCAAATCCTGATATGAGCCAGAGGCAGAATAGAAAATAATTAGAAAATTCCACACACAAAGTGTTTACAAATAGTAATTTCAGTAGGTGGATATAAAATCCATGGTAAGAAAATGTTAATTAAAACTTTACTTCATTTTCATTATATTTATTGACAACAGTTGTACATTGTAGCTTCATCAGACGATGATCGACTTTCAACCATCAAAAACGAAACCTAATTTGATTTTAGAATCCGTGCTTGTGGAGCTAGTTTGTTTGAGGGCGGACCAGGGGAAGATTTAATCCAGCTATGAGCCAAAGGCAGAAGAGGAAAATATGTAACAAATTCCACATAAAGAATCTTTACGAGATTTTCCTTTGAAGTTGGAGCCTGAAGAGGCCGTCAACCATTAAAGGTGAAACCTAATTTGACTTTGGAGTCGATTGTGCTTGCGTATCTAGTTTGTTTGAGGGTGGACAAGGGGAATAACTGAAAACCTGTTTCGAAGATTCTGTCATCCTTGGTCATGGTAACCTAATAAGCTTTGGTTGGATCAGTTTTGTTTGAGTAGGAGGATATAAAATCCATGGTTAGAAAATGTAAATTCAGATTTTAGTTGATTTTCATTATATTTCTTGACAACAGTTACATGTTGAACTACTTTGTAGTTTCATCAGCAATGGAAAGTTTAAATCCTGATATGAGCCAGAGGCAGAATAGAAAATAATTAGAAAATTCCACACACAAAATGTTTACAAATAGTAATTTCAGTGGGTGGATATAAAATTCATGGTAAGAGAACGTTAATTAAAACTTTACTCCATTTTCATTATATTTATTGACAACAGTTGTACACTGTAGCTTCATTAGACAATGGACTTTCAACCATCAAAGGCGAAACCTAATTTGATTTTAGAATCCGTGCTTGCGCAGCTAGTTTATTTGAGGGCGGACCAGGGGAAGATTTAATCCAGCTATGAGCCAAAGGCAAAAGAGGAACATATGTAAAAAATTCCACACAGAGAATCTTTAGGAGATTTTCCTTTGACGTTGGAGCCTGGGGAAGCCTTCAACCATTAAAGGTGAAACCTAATTTGACTTTAGAGTCGATTGGGCTCGCGTATCTAGTTTGTTTGACGGCAGACAAGGAAAAGAACTGAAAAACTGTTCCGAAGATTCAGTCATCCTTGGTCATGGTAACCTAATAAGTTTTGGTTGTATCAGTTTTGTTTGAGTAGGAGGATATAAAATCCATGGTTAGAAAACGTAAATTCAGATTTTACTTGATTTTCATTATATTTATTGACAACAGTTACATGTTGAACTACTTTGTAGTTTCATCAGCAATGGCAAGTTTAAATCCTGATATGAGCCAGAGGCAGAATAGAAAATAATTAGAAAATTCCACACACAAAATGTTTACAAATAGTAATTTCAGTGGGTGGATATAAAATTCATGGTAAGAGAACGTTAATTAAAACTTTACTCCATTTTCATTATATTTATTGACAACAGTTGTACACTGTAGCTTCATTAGACAATGGACTTTCAACCATCAAAGGCGAAACCTAATTTGATTTTAGAATCCGTGCTTGCGCAGCTAGTTTATTTGAGGGCGGACCAGGGGAAGATTTAATCCAGCTATGAGCCAAAGGCAAAAGAGGAACATATGTAAAAAATTCCACACAGAGAATCTTTAGGAGATTTTCCTTTGACGTTGGAGCCTGGGGAAGCCTTCAACCATTAAAGGTGAAACCTAATTTGACTTTAGAGTCGATTGGGCTCGCGTATCTAGTTTGTTTGACGGCAGACAAGGAAAAGAACTGAAAAACTGTTCCGAAGATTCAGTCATCCTTGGTCATGGTAACCTAATAAGTTTTGGTTGTATCAGTTTTGTTTGAGTAGGAGGATATAAAATCCATGGTTAGAAAACGTAAATTTAAATTTTACTTGATTTTCATTAAATTTATTGACAGCAGTTACATGTTGAACTACTTTGTAGTTTCATCAGCAATGGAAAGTTCAAATCCTGATATGAGCCAGAGGCAGAATAGAAAATAATTAGAAAATTCCACACACAAAGTGTTTACAAATAGTAATTTCAGTAGGTGGATATAAAATCCATGGTAAGAAAATGTTAATTAAAACTTTACTTCATTTTCATTATATTTATTGACAACAGTTGTACATTGTAGCTTCATCAGACGATGATCGACTTTCAACCATCAAAAACGAAACCTAATTTGATTTTAGAATCCGTGCTTGTGGAGCTAGTTTGTTTGAGGGCGGACCAGGGGAAGATTTAATCCAGCTATGAGCCAAAGGCAGAAGAGGAAAATACGTAAAAAATTCCACATAAA